TCTACAAACCATTGTAGTCTGAAAAAGCAGACACTACTAACTTTTGTAGTCTCAAAAAGTGGACACTATTAACTTTTATAATGAACAAAGCGGACTCTACAAACCATTGTAGTCTGAAAAAGCAGACACTACTAACTTTTGTAGTCTCAAAAAGCGGACACTACAAACCATTGTAGTCTCAAAAAGTGGACACTATTAACTTTTATAATGAAAAAAGCGGACACTACAAACCATTGTGGTCTGAAAAAGCAGACACTACTAACTTTTGTAGTCTCAAAAAGCGGACACTACAAACCATTGTAGTCTGAAAAGACAGACACTACTAATTTTTGTAGTCTCAAAAAGCGGACACTATTACTTTTGTAATGAGAAAAGCAGACACTACTAATTTTTGTAGTCTTTGACTGACCTTTGTGGTCTATGTCCAACTTTTGTAGTCTTTTTTGTAGTCTATTAGTAAACTTTGTAGGCTATAAATTACTTTTGTAGTCTGTCAGTGTCAATTACCCTTTTAGGGCATGTACCTTCCTTTTTGGGAGAAATTTCCCACGATACAATAGTTGTAGCCCCTTCTCTTAGCTTTCTAAATCTGTTGAAATCATGTTGTTTAGTGTTCTTTTCATGAAGAAAAATGCAAAAAACAAAAAAAAACGCGGTGCTTTTGAAAACCTTTTACCTTATATCTCCACAATGGAAGCACTTTAGGACATAATTCCAACTGATTCTGGAAGCTATGATAAAGAGCTACAACTTTTGTTTTTTTACCATTTTTGGAAATTTGTCATGTGACCACCCTCCCAATGACCCCCAGTGAAAATCGAACCTAAAAAATGGCCAAATGGATCGGTGGAGCCCGATCTGAACAGGGGAGATGGCCGGAAATTGGCAAATATATCGATTTTATCCGGAGGAACCTGATCTGCACAGGGTCGATTTTCACTGGGAATGACCCATTGGATGGACCGTAATAGCTATTTCATTGCTATCATGGAATATAATGAAAAATCATAATGATATCCCTGGGGGCAGATATGAAATTGGAATGAAATATTGAGATACTCAATGAAAAATCCCAATGAAAGCTGTGGAATATTCAATGAAAGTGCACATCATTAATTATGAAAGAAGCAATGAATACATATAACCTAGCTAATGAAATATTTATTGAAATGCACAATGAAAGCACCCAGAATTGATAATGAAATATTCAATGAAAGCGCACAGCATTAATTATGCAAGAGGCAATGAATACACCTGACCTAGGGAATGAGATATTTATTGAAATTGCACAACATTAATTATAAAAAGTACAATGAAAGCATCCAATATTCCTAATGAAATATTCAATGAAAGCGCACACAATTAAATATGAAAGAGGCAATGAATACACCTGACATAGGGAATGAGATATTTATTGAAATTGCACAACATTAATTATGAAAAGTACAATGAAAGCATCCAATATTCCTAATGAAATATTCAATGAAAGCGCACACTATTAAATATGAAAGAGGCAATGAATACACCTAACATAGTGAATGAAATATTTATTGAAATCACACAGGATTAATTATGAAAAAAGCAATGAAAGCGCCCAAAATTCCTAATGAAATATTCAATGAAAGTGCACACCATTAATTATGAAAAAGGCAATGAATACACCTAACCCAGTGAATGAAATACCTATTGAAAGCACACAGGTTTAATTATGAAAAGCACTCTGTGGCCTTGCCTATATCTTATGAAAAGAACATAAGTTTTATGAGAAAGAAAACACAGGACACATCTATGAAATGCCTTTCATAAAACTTGTGGACTTATACACACAGCTCTACAGGCAATTGCCTTAGTTTTATCATAAAAGTGGTAGCCACCAGTCTGGCAGTCCTCTATCTTGCACTCACACTCCATTAGACAGCTGAATTTTCCCCCCACAGCGGCTCCCTTCCTTCCTTCCTTCCTGCCCCTCTGCATTTGCTTCTGTGCTTGACTTTCCTTTACACAGTCCCCATGGCTCAGATCTCAGCAGCTATTGACCCTGGTGCAGGTTGCTTGGCTGCATTTGCAACCTCTGTCACATGGGCATCCAGTGCTCTGTTGAAAACCATTCTGTAAGTTTCCATATTCATCTATGTACGCACCCTTGCTGCTGTTGCAAGAGCCACCTTCCATTTTACTTGTCGGGTGTTGTCGTTATTTGGCGTTGTTGTTGTTTTGAGTGGACATTTGGCATGTTGTTCTATTTTGGTTCCCTTCCGTCGTTCCGGAACCCTTTCTTGGTGTTCTCTGGCCCTTCCCCTGTGTCACAGATCTCTCAGATTGGTCACATCGTCGAGACTGTCTATTCAGCTGGTCGCAGCCTTACTTCTTCAAACAGCCTGTAAGTAACTTTATTTTATTTTTCCATTTTTTTTTCAAAAAATAACAATTAATTTTCATTAACTTAATTCATCACCATTTCTAGGTGGAGGATGTCCTTAATTATACAGACTGGCCTTTTGTAAATCTTTTCTGTTTGACTGCTATTTAGTTTTCTGACCATAGCATAATTTTACCTAGATTGGAAATACCAAAACCTTTGAAGACATCGCCTTCTTATATATTGGTGTGTGCACTCTTATTTCTGACCACTCACTTATAACCACAATTTTACTGCTCAGCCACAGCTATCATTGCTGAGCACTCTTTTTTTCTGTGGAAACAGAAGCCTTCAGTATCTTCTGCCCCCTTCAAATTAGCCATTCAAAAGCTCAGCTCATCTGATGTGTTGGAAAAAATTAAAACTGCCATTGAGAAGGCATCTCATCTCAAATCCAAAGATCAAAAACATGCACTTGTAAAAATTGCTCTAGATAATTCTCTTCGTGAGTTTCTAAAACCAAAAGTCTTCCACTGCCTTTCTCTCATTTATTTTATTTAGCTTTATAAAAATTTCAAACTATCCTTGCAGAATTTCATAAATGTAATATATCTTTCTACTTACCACCATTATGGTGCATGTTTGCCCATTGTTTTCAAAAAACCTACTGCATTATTTGAGCAAAATAAGGTTAAGGATGGGTAAAGTTCACCAGCTTTTTCTGTCTTCAAGCTCCCTCAAGCATCCTAGAGTTGTCTTTGCAGACCAAGCAAGACCATTCCCAATCTGGTAATCATCAAACAATGAAAAAAGTCCTCATGGGTTCCAATCAAATAAGGGACCATGGGTATGCTTAGGACTGTTTTTTTCAAATAACAGTTGAAACAAAAACTCATTATCAGTAGGCACTATCTAAACTATCTAATTAAATGGTGGTCAAAGCTTCCAATACAATTTAACCAGAACCCATTCAGCTGATGACTGGAGAAAGAGCTATTTAAATTGTCATGAAGCTTTAAATTCATGACAGGTCTATTTAATCTGTGTTCAAGCACATAGATACTAGAAGAGAGTTTAAATCAATACTCACAGCATTAACTGCTGTTCAAAGTGGTCAGAGGTATCTATTTAATTACCATAAAGACAATCACCATTCTTGTTGATAGGATTGTTGTCCTGGTCAAAATAGCTGTTGGTAGGCAGCATATGCCATAAGAACTAGAAATATAGACTGGTTCCTGAGATAAAATAAAATGAGTGATGCTGATGATTTATTGTTAGGAATAGCTTTCACAAGGTTGACACAAGGTCTCTTAACATTAGATGGCGATTATAATAATACAATGCAGAGTTCTAGGATGATAAGTGTGAGGTAAATATCTATCGGAAGTGAGGATACTCCATGAGTCCATGGGTCCATGCAAAAATACAAGTATTAGTGACCTTACCCCAACAACACTGAGACCCCTGACTATACAAACAGGCCATAGTTGATGGTGCCTGCTGATGAGCCGATGGATATGTTGACCCCATCAAAGCTGGCCCGGCCACCCATATTTTCTCAAGGAGTGGTTCTGTGTGCCGGCCGAGGAGCCTAATGATGAATTGACCCCACTGAAATTGCCTTGGATTGTGGGTCAGCCGGTCTGTTCCAACATGGATTATGAGTCAGCTGAACAGCTTTTGATCCCTCACAAGGTGGATCAGCCCACCTGCCAAAACCTGGCCTGGTCCAATCAGTTGACATGCCGAGGTCATGAATCTCATTGTCAGCCCCGAGCGCAGATGAGGCTGGCCCACAACCATTTTCCTTGTTTTATTTAACCCAACTCCCCTTAGCCATTATTTCCCATCTGTGGCTGTAACTGACTTTCGGCTGGATAATGTCCCAGGTCGGATGTGTCATTCCCTTGCCATAATGACTGGCTTAGTGATCAAGGCTACAATATGCTTAGTTGCCCCAGATTCACATCTATCCGGTGGTGTTCCTTTTTACCTGAGTCGAAACATAGTGCAGTGGCCAATACACATCAATGTTGTCTCAACATTCACTTGGCTTTGTGGCAAAGCCTGACATTGTTTTCCAACGTCACCTTGAGTGGTTACGAAAAAAAAAGAGTTTGCTCCATCTGTACTCAAGTGACTTCTGGGATTCAAACCCAGGGCATACATACATACACTATGTACACCTTCCAGCTTGACCACTAAGCCAAGTCAGTGCTGCAAGAGGATGTTGGTCAGTATCATTTAGCTGTCAACTATGTCACTGTAATAGAAGAAAATTCTGGCATACACTTTGCAATTTGAACCCAGGCATCCAAGCTTGGCACTTTGTAAGTCACTACCCATTCTCGGCATAAGACAACTACCCATTCTTTTGCAAACCTTTGATTAGTAAATTTTAGCCAGCGTTACAAAAAGGCCATCCTCGCTCTACGTGACTTGTGGGATTTGAACCCAGGGCATACATACATACACTATGTACACCTCCCAGCTCAACCACTAAGCCAAGTCAGCACTGCAAGAGGAAGTTGGGGAGTATCTTTTAGGTGATGACCAATTGGACAGGATCTCAAGTCAATGTCGGCCTGCAAGCTCAGCACTTTGTGACTTAGTTCTCGGCCTAAGATGACCAACTCAGCTCTGCAAGCTCGGTACTTTGTACTAGGAATGTTGCAAACCTGCATTGATTAGTAAAAATTAAAACACAAGAAATCGTAGGGAAGAATGAACGACTTGTTCAGAAATTGAACCCAGGCATACATACTTAAACTACATACACCTGCCAGCTTAACCACTAAGCCAAGCCAACGTTGAAGATGATGTCGGTCAGTATCTTTTAGCTGTCGACCATGTCACTCTAATAGCAGTAAAAAGGACTGAAATAAATTCTCCGCAGTGACTTGTTTGGGATTTGAACCCAGGCATACTACATACACCTGCCACCTTAACCACCAAGCCAAGTCAACCTTGCAATACAAAAGGCAGAGACCTTTCATGCAATGACTTGTTTGGGATTCAGCACAACACAATTGCACTTCAAAAAATCAGAGAGCTGTCCTGCAATGACTTTTTTGGGATATGAACCCAGGGCATACACTATGTACACCTCCCAGCTTAACCACTAAGCCAAGTGAAGGTTGGAAGATGATGTCGGTCAGTATCTTTTAGCTGCCGACCATGTCACTCTAATAGCTGTAAGTAAAAAATTTGTTCGGGATTTGAACGCAGGGCATACATAGGTCGGTCAGTATCTTTTAGCTGCAGTAAGTAAAAAACTTTTCAAAATGCGAATCTATGACTTGTTCGGGATTTGAACCCAGGGCATACATAGATACACTATGTACACCTGCTATCTTAACTATTAAGCCAAGTCAATGTTGCAACAAACTTATCTTTAGCTGGAGACGATGTGACTCTAATAGACAATGTAAACCCGGGCCTGCAAGCTCGGCACTTTGTAACTTACCCGTTCTCGGCCTAAGACAACTACCCATTCTCGGCCTAAGACAACTAACCCATGTCTGCAAGCTCGGTAAGAATTGATTAGTAAATTTTAGCCAGAGTTACAAAAACGAAAGAGCTGCGATCGCTGCAAGTGACTTCTGGGATTCGAACCCAGGCATACATACACTCTGTACACCTCCAGCTTATCCACTAAGCCAAGCCAACTTTGGAAGATGATGTTGGTCAGTATCTATTACCTGCCGACCATGTCACTCTAATAGCAATAAGTAAAAAGTATTTGAGGATGTCCAAGCCATGATGTGTTTGGGATTTGAACCCGGGCATACTACATACACCTGCCACCTTAACCACCAAGCCAAGCCAATGAAATGTTGGTCAGTATCTCAAGTCAATGTCGGAAGACGATGATTTGAACCTGCGCCTGCAAGCTCAGCACTTTGTAACTTTACCCATTCTCAGCCTAAGATGACTACCAAGACAATCTGCTCGGTACTTTGTAACTTACTACCCGCTCAGACTCTCAGCAAAAGACAACAACCCCTTCTAGGGACCAGATCTAGGAAGACGATGATTTGAACTGCTCGGCACTTTGTAACTTACCTGTTCTCGGCCTAAGACAACTAGTTCTTGGCCTAAGACAACTACCCGTTCTCAGCCTAAGACAATTAACTCGGGTCTGCAAGCTCGGTACTTTGTACGAGGGACTGGATGCCGACCATGTCACTTCTAATAATAGCAGTAAGTAAAAATCGTGGAAAAGAACGAAAGACTTTTTCGGGATTTGAACCCAGGGCATACAGAGATACACTACGTACACCTGCCATCTTAACCAATAAGCCAAGTCAATGTCACAACAAACTCTTGGTCAGTATCTCTTAGCTGGCGACCATATAATAATGTAAGTAAAAAGTATTTGAAGATGTGCAGGCACTGACTTGTTTGGGATTTGAACCCGAGCAGATACACTATGTACACATGCCACCTTAACCACTAAGCCAAGTCAATCTTACAACAAAATGCTGGTCACAATCATTCTAATAGCAGTAAATGTGTTCAGCATTTGAAGCTGGGGCATACTGAATCAGGGCCTGCAAGCTCGGCACTGACTTGTTCGGGCGGTGAACCTGGGGCATAAGACAACCCGGCCCAACCTCAGCCCGGACAGGACACATATACATAGACTATGATGCAAGATAAATTTGGTCAGTAGATTTTAGCCAGCCCCAGCTGGATGCTCCCGGCCCGGTACACCTCACAAAATTACTCTTAGATTAGAAAGTAGGCCCAGGCATGGGGCTTCAAGTTGGGCCTGGGCATGGGACTTCAACTTGTGCCCGGGTGGGTCACCATCAATGTCAATTGAAATTTGCCCACAATCTTTGGAATCTGGCATGGTCTAATGGTAGAGTTGCCTTCTGGGTTCAATCCCCGGCCATGCTTATCCTTATGACATTTTCAACTTTTTTGTGGGGACTCCTCGAGGCATCTGCCAGATATTCTTATGCTTCTGATATAGGGTTGGATCGAGGGTTGTAATTTAACCTGAAACATGTGTGTTTCCCCGTTTAAAAACCCTCTCACATTTCAAGGACCCATCTTCCCCCACACCCCTCCACTGCGACATGAATCACTTCACCCCATGACGATCTGGACTCTATTGGGCATCCCTCCACCCAATCCCTACCCCGTAAGTTCTGTATCTCTCCATTGGTCTTAACCAGCTGATGATTCATCAGAAAGGAACCCGTGTGTGGTATAATATGTCTATCAGCGGCCTCATGTTTGCAACCGTGGACTCCACCAGCCGGTTGCCTGACGTGAGCAATCCCCTTGGTACTTCATTTTTTCCACTAACATGGTGATTAGGGTACCATGCTCTTAACTATCATTGACGACGATGGGGAGAAGGTGACCCTTCTGTATGTCCTCTTTTTTTTTCTGTCCAAACACCATTTCACCTATTATGAAAGAGCATGCGGCGTAACACAGGTCTCTTAATACATATCGTTCCATACCACCTGTAACATTGAATTTGTCCAAAAAAAAATTATCTGACCTTTTGATGGGCCGGCTTATTCAGCCGGCCATAAGCATTGGGCTTCACCAACGCCAAGATGGAGCCGAGTACAAGGCCATCAAATACGCTGGCACCCTAACTTCACGTAATAAACTTCGACATAATGGACAATGCCCTGGCCTCATGTTTTGGGAGATAAAAAGTAAATGGGAATTTCTTGTTTTTTTTTAAAAACCATGACTCCCTCTCAACATTCACAAGATCTAGCTCACTACATCAAAGGCCGGCTGCTAAGTTCCAGAATGCCATTGATTCATGCTCAGCCTGCTAGACCAACATGGCTTCTTCCATCTGGACCTCAAGTTCAAGTTGAAAAGGTCATTAGGATGCTTGAAGAAGCCTGGAATCAATCCTGTAAGTCCAATGTTCAACCGGCGGTATCAGACAGGCCAATAAAGCCTTCCCAGATGAAACTGACTGGGATGTCCGAGATTATGTGGCCGAGTTATCACCGAGGCAGAGTGGAAGCAATGGGGATTTGGAAAACAGACTCCTTACAAGATTCCCACCGATCTACCAGTCAACCTCGCTGGTCGACATCCCTTGCCTCGATAAACCTTGCCACATAACTGACAAGGCCGGCCACATTCTTCTGTGGTACTTCCCAAAGTTAATCTCAGAAGATCTTCAGGTAATTTTATTTCCCCCAACAACCGAGAAGTTTTTAACTCAGACCGGTCCAGCAACTGATTTGGACCCAGACGGAGAATCTAAGACCCAAAAAGAAAAGTAATGGGAGTTGGTGGGATCAGATCCACCCCGACCATGGTGGCAAAACGACCAGCATAGTGGGTTTGTCACCCGGCTGGTTCTCCCAAGGACGCAAAGGTCCTGCTGATCCACTTCGTCCTTCCTCCGATATTCAACAGGCCAGTAACCTCATCTATCTTGAAACACTCTCCTTCATCAACGCCGTTATCTCTGCCATATACTCCATCATTCAACCCGACCTATGTGAGTCAGGATTTGCGGTCTTTGACCAGCTCGCCGAGGACGGTCAGCAAGATGAAGCTACCAGCATGGCTCTGGGAGTGTGGGGTACACCTTTCACTGGCCTTTCAGTCATCATAAACAGAGAGACAATTACCCACTGAGATGTAAAGGGCTACAGGGAGTCTTTCGACATGTTGTTGACGATCGGTCGGTACGACCAAGGTCGGTTTTACATGCCCGGGCTTGGATTCAGTCTTCTTTATGACCCAGGAACTCTTGTGGGCCTGGCTGGCAATGTCTTACCACATGGTGTTTGTCCCGTTGTCGGTGAACACGCCTGTTTGGCTGAGCTTGGGGAGGAGATTCCAGGTTTCTGAAAGTCAAAGATGGAGTGGGGGGAGGGGGAAGACACCGTGGGCTTTGTAAAATCAAATAGGGACCGATTGAAATTAATGTCTCTGGCCTTTGCAGAAACGGCAGACGTTTGAAAATTGAAAATAGATTTGTCGAATGTTGGGGCCAGGCGAGAAACAGTCAAATCAATGGACATCGATTGACTCTCTTCACGTTCTAATGAAGACCACATTAATATCAATCTGTAAAGCTCAGCCCATCGACTTATGTTGCGTAATGCTATCCACGTCGACTTCCATTGCTTGTTTGGTGGACTGCATTCCATCGTCGCTCGGTAGGTCTGTTCGCCCAATAATGATTGAAGGTTGGTCAGGTTATAAGACTTGCTTACTTGGGAGAACATTTTGATGTTGGGCCATTTCTAAGGTAAGGTTGTAACGGTGTCGGTAGTAAAAGCCCAAACTGAATTATTTACCTTCCTGCACCTCCCTATGCTCCAAGTCTTTCATTACAACTTCTGCATCAAAAGAATTAGTGACAATGGTTGCCTGGAAGATTAGACATTCTCCTACCTGGGTTTGTCAAAGACATATCAGCCATGGAGTAGATGGCTTTTCCAGGGATTGCAGTTGCTAATGAACGTTGTTCAAGAGAAAGGCCCATTGTTTTGTTCAGCCTTGCAATGGCCCTTGAAAATTCAACCATGGGAATGAAAACCACCGATGATCGGCTGTGGAACAGTCTGAGGATCTCTACTCTTCTGACGCCACCACGTGACTCCGTTGACAACTTTTCAACATCAACTTTCATCGTCTCGTTCTAACCCTTTGTGCCGTTCCAACTCCAATGTCCTCCACCCTTACCATAGAAGCTAAAGCCCACAATCTCGACCCCGGGTGTTTGGACGATGTTCGGTTTCAAATAGAATCACTTTTGAGGTTCTTCAATTGAAATCAAGCGACTCTTATGAATTCCAATGACGCGAACTGACCGACCTTAGAAGCACATGCCTGGGAGAAAGCTGTAAGTAACTACCTTATATTTTGTTGAATGACACTCAGTTTCACCAAGGTAACATTGGTGAAGATTTTTTCAGGCAAGCAGCTGTGGTGTGAGGAATCCCAGTGGCTCCATCCCACAAGGATCTGGGTATACACCGACATGTTGCAAGTCATGGGGGGGCCCTCGGTCGATTGGAACAAACTCTATGCAGTCCCACCCACCACCACCCCTACGTTCTTCATGGAAGGTTACGACGGCCCCTCTCCCCCCATTCCTCCCATTACGTCAACCATTTCTACATTGGCAAATTCGTCGCTCCCAGCCCAATCTTCACTGCCCCCAATATCAGCAGACACACAAGCATCATCTGTCCCGATACCGAATTCGTCGCTCCCAGCCCTGCCCCCAATATCGGCAGACACATCTGTCCCAATACCGAACGCTCCCCAACACCAATCAACTCCAGAAGCTGGCCCAGCACCAGAAAAGAAGCCAGCTGAGCCCAAACCTCAACAAAGTTGAGCAAAACCCAAGGCCAGCACGAGCAGTGGGAGAAAGAGGAGAGGGGACTCCTTGGACGTCCAGCTGAGGAAGACCCGCATCGTCAGCACACAACACATTGAGGAAAGCAGCGATGAGGAGACACCCATGCCGAAGCCCAATTCACGAAACTCGGGCAACACTGCCAAGCCGAGGTCGAAACAACAGCCAGTCGTCGAGATAACAGTAAAGCCCAGGTCCAAAGCAACACCTCAGGTTAGCCCAGACACAGCTACAAAGGCAGCACTAAAGGCCCAGGCATGAGCAGAGAAGCTTGAAAAGCAGAATGCGGCCATTAAAATGGGAGAATACAAGCTTGCCATTGAGCCCTGTGTAGCCTGCAGTAAACGAAAGGACAAAGAGACCATCCCATGCGCAGAGAGCACCAGCGGTGTGCTCACCGCCTGTTTCACTTGCAACACGGGCAAGACGAAATGCAGCAAGGCAGGGGGGAGTTCAAAGAAGAAGACTGAGGGAGAGGAGGCAGAGGAAGTGAAGATCGTGGTCAAGAAAACCAAGAAGCGCAAGGCAAAGAAGGATGAAGAAGCCGAGGACAGGGGAGAGAAGGGAAAGAAGAAAGCCAAGAAATTGAAGGCTAAGAAGTTGGAACGAATGGCAGAGGGAGCCAAGGATGGGGGAGAGGAGGAAAGTGTGGTCATCGTTCAAAGACCCAAGACGAAGGCAACGAAGCAGGATGTAGAAATGGCTGAGGTTTCTGAGGGAGAGTCGTTCGATTTCGAGTCTATAAAAGAGGAGGATTCAGAGATGGTGGACATGACCTTGGGTGTGGACGCCGAGGTTGGTACTTCTTCCCGACCTGACAAAGGCAAGGTGTGGGCAACTCCAGCCATCGTCATTGAACGACCAACACCAACACCCCCAGTTCAACCCAAGTTGAGTCTGGCCATGGATGAAATGCCCACCGTGCCCGATGTCGGCCAATCATCAGGTAAGAGTTTATCAAATCAGTTTTTCCTTACTAACCAGCCTAGCTTCCCTCATGCCCAACCTTGGGCAATCATCAGCAACAGGGATCATGCCCGACCTCAGGCAATCATCAGGTAAGATTCAATCAAATCAGTTTTTCTTTACTAACCAAGCTAGATTTTGCTGCAACGCCCATCATGCCCGACCTTGGGCAATCATCAGGTAATGCTGTGATGCCCATTGTGCCCGACCTCAGCCAATTGTCAGGTAAGACACTATCAAATTCGTTTTTCCTTACTAACCTGCTCTGATGCCTGGCCCGATCCCAGCTCCTGCCAATGACATGGTGGGGATCTTAGTCAATAGTGCTCTGGCCTCGGTCGACATCTTCCCTTCCCAGCCTGAGCAGTCGGTTTCGAACTTGTGCCGCATCAGTCCCCCTCACGTTCAAGAACTTCATCGTAAGTTCTTTTATGTTCTCATTGGACTTCTTTGCTTAAAAACTTAGTTGATACAGCAATGTACATCAAGAAGGTGGATTTCAGGTCCCGCACTCCGCCACCGGCATTCGACATGCATGTGATCCAGCATGAGATCAGGAGACTCGGTCAAGATCAGACCGACATTCAAAACACTCTCCACGAACAACAGGCTCAGCTGACCATCGCGTCAGAGCATACCGGCATCGACCCGAGTGCTCTTCTCCCCCCATTCGTGAACTCCACATCATTCAGCCAACGTCTGGCCTCCCTGGAGGAAATGACCCAGAGACTTCAAGAGGTTGAATCTGCTGGCGATCGTCTTGCTGAACAAGTCAAAACTTTGGAAACATTGTTGTGGTTTGAAGAGGAAAGAAGAAGTAATGCATACACCGCAAGGATGGACCAATTTGAAGACCTTCACCAAGCATGGTGGAAGGATGCCGAAGCCAGGCTCCAAGACCATCAGATGGACTTGTACACGATAAGGGTTCAGCATGAAGCTTTTGAGGGGGAGGTCAGGAATATGATGAAGGTGACGCCGGCTGCATTGCAAGAACAAGTCGTGAAGTCTATGGCTGAACTTACAAACCGAGTCCACCAGGTCGAGCAAGCACAGGAGACTCTGACTACATCCTATAGCGCACTTACCGAGGGTCAGATAAAACTTGGTAACCGACAAATGATTGTGGAACAAATTGTCCTCAATCATTTCGGCCACAAAATCAAGACCGACACCCAGATCGATGCGACCAAGGGGACGGCCGATATTGGCATCAACACGATGAAGGCTACTGTGGATATTGGCATCAACACCAATAAATCAGCAGAGGAATTGGTCCAAGCATCGAGCCCGGCCCCAATCCAGTCAGCAGCTCCTCCGACGCCGGCGCAAGCTTTGAGCCCGGCTCCAATTCAATCGGCAGCTGTGCAAGCTTCGAGCCCGCCTCCAATTCAACCCACAGCTCCTTCAAATCTGGTTCAAGCTGAGAGCCTGGCCCCAATCTATTTGGCTCCAAAGCCAGTTCGTGCGACACGCCGCAGCAGATCACCCTCTCCCTTCACAGTTGGCACCAGGAGGTCTCCTCGGCTGATAGCTTCATCTGGTATGTCCCCTGCTTGATAGTAATGATTCAACATCTAAATGCCAGTAGATGATCATCCTTTGACTCCCACTAATGAAGACCTGCAATAATCACATACTCCATATTTTGTAATGCCTCTTCTTATCTTGTAACTTCTTGTCAATATAAAGCTTTTTTGTGTCATGTTCTTTGTAAAAGAGAAAAAGAAGTACTGCAATCTTGAAGAAATAAAACTAATCTGAGGGGTAAGCATTAGAGGGCGACATTCAAGAAACTCTGCCGAAGTGCTTTACCTTGGCCAGGTCAACTGCTTAGGTCTAAGCCACAATGTGCTTCGCGGTAGTATGTTTGAAAGGCCGGATTGTGTTCAAAAATTATCAATTTAGAAACAAAGATATCACCTTTGGGACTTGAACCCCAGTCCTGACTATCGGCTGCTCTAAAATATACTGACCGATGTTCACAAGTAGACATAGGTGTCCCTATAGTACCATAAAAGTACAACTTGGTCAATTGTCCTATGGGTCATAGGACTACCCAAATGGGCCCAATGAGCAACTAGACTATGGTGCTGTACATTGGCCCAAAGGTGTAAAAACACCTAATGTTTATCATTGGGCCAAATGACGCCAGATGTCTTAGGCAAAAATGGATGGTGAAATTAGGAGAGGGAGTTCCGAAATACATTATCCCAGGGCATATGTCCCATGAACATGCGAAATGTCCGGAGGATTAGTTTCAATATACAGAGGACATCCAAAAAGCACTCGCATAAATGTTTTGGGGAAATGCAAAATGTCCGGACCAATAACCTGATTATCTACAGAACATCAGAAGAACAGCCCTGGTAGTGGTATAAGTGTCCTGAAATAAATGCGAAATGTCTGGAGCATTAGTTTCAATATACAAAGGACATCCAAAAAGCCCTCGCATAAATGTATTGGGGAAATGCAAAATGTCCGGACCAATAACTTGATTATCTATGGAACACCAGAAGAACAACCCTGGTAGTGGTATAAGTGTCCTGAAAGAATGCGAAATGTCTGGACCAATAACTTGATTATCTACAGAACACCAGATAAACAACCCTGGTAGTGGTATAAATATCCCCATAAACATGCGAAATGTCCGGAGGATTAGTTTCAATATACAGAGGACATCCAAAAAGCAAGGTCTTTATTGTCCTCCACTGATTCCTGCCGGATTCCGGCGGAATCCGGGCAATTCCTGGAATTCCGGAGGATTCAAATTTGGCAGAGGGCCCTGCCAAATTGATCAAACTATTCCGCGGAATTTTGAATGGAATTCAAATTCCGCCGGAATGGTTCCGGTGATCACCCGGAAGGAATGCTCACGGAATCAGACGGAACGGAATTCCTGATGCCCAAATCAAACGTCGGCGTTTGCCGACGTTTGATTTGGGCATCATCAACAAACAACGCCACATCTCTCTCCAACCACCATCATCACCGACGCCTACACACCACATCGCCAACGTCCACCACCACGCACACCAGCCACAACGATGAGACAACGACGACGGCCACGACGCGGCAAACGACGCCTCAACGCCACATCAACAACCCTAGTAAACAAGCACGGCAACACGTTGCCACGTCGCTGATAGCGACGTGGCAACCAGACGACGAACGACGATTTCGTCGTTCGTCGTCCTAGGTGAGCACCCCCCCCCAAACTCATCCCAACCCAGCTCGCTAACACCACGCCCACAACGAGGGACGGACAGCACGTCAGCGCCCCACCACGTCAACGGAGGGCCACGCCAACAGACGACCCACACCACCACGTCAACGGACCGCCACCACATCAACGGACGACACCCACGTCAACGGACGCCGACGACGACGACGTCAGCGGACAACGAGCACATAAGCGGACGACGACGACGACGTCAACGGACAACCCCCATATCAACGGACGACGACGACGACGACGTCAGCGGACGACGCCCACGTCAACGGACGACGGCGAGCACGTCAACGAAGACACGACAGGAACGACGTAAAGCACAGGCCGACGAACAGCGACGAGGCCCAGTACTCCCCACCACACTCTCCCCCCTCCATCAGTCCCCAACACTCCATCCACCCTCCCTCTCTTCCCTCCCTCCCTCCTTCTTCCCTCCCTCCATCCTTATTCCCTCCCTCTGTCCCTCTTCCCTCCCTCCATGCCCCCTCTCTCTCCATTCCTCCCCCTCTCTCTCCATTCCTGCCCCTCTTTCCCTCCCTCCCCCCTCTCTCCCTCACTCCCTCCCC